CAAGTATATATGGGACTCAAACATCTGAAAACTTTCGTCCAAGTAAAGCAGGACAACTAGAAGCTGATAATTTACCCCAGGGCATTTTCAATAATAATCGTGTTCGCGAATTCGTTGAATGTGATTTTTGTGGAAAAATTCGATGCATTTATAGTATGAGTGCTTTAAAAAAAGAGCAGATATCCACATTACAGCTCAAAATAAATGATAATGATTTTACTTGTGGAATTGAAGAATGGATGCCACCTTCACATGAGCTGAAAGGTATTGTTTTTATTCGTCAATCTCTTAGCTGTGATTCTCCAATTGAAAGTGGTTATTATTCAAATCGCCTAAAAAAACCTCCTATTTGTTATTATTGTGGTAAAAATAATTCATTGGTGGAGGCAACTGACGATTTACTTCATGGATATCAATCTGTATATCCACTTTGTTCTAATTGTCAACTTTCGGGTCATTCTTTTCATATTGGGGTAAGAAAAAAGTTGGTGAATTAACAAGAAAAAGGAAAAGAGAATAATTTTTGTATTATATAATCTTTTAATAAATAATTTGTTAAGTAAAATGATTGTTATTTTATCTTTATTATCGTATTTTTATAAAATCACGTGATATACAAAATGTACATTTAAATCTGAATTTTTTGAAATAATGAGGGGGGGGGTTGATGTTAAACGAGACTATTTGTTGGAACGGCCTTAATATAATTGTACATCTTATAATTCTATAAAACTTCTATATATCATAATAAATAACTTGTTTACAGTATAATTGACTATTTACTAATGATTAAAATACTTTGAAAGTAATATCATTCTTTTTGTAAAAAAAATAATGTTATTCAAAAAAATTATATTGTAATCTCAAAATTATGATAATGATGATGATAACATTCTACATTCTAATGTCTAAATTTGTTAAAATAAATTTAAAGAGTATTAATTTCAAGATCAATTTCCTTGGTAATATATCCTATATTTATAAAAGATACGTTAAAACAGGGTAAAAAAAAAAATTTTGTCGTATACAGTCAAATATTGGAAGCTCATATATACTTACCATCATGGGATTGATTGAGATCCTTATTAATATCTAATTCAATTTCTTTTGTAAAGTAATCTAATGAATTATACAAATATTTGATTAATATTGTTAAACTATTTGATGAATATTAAATTTTTATAGTTTAATTGCTAATTAGAATTCATACCTTTATCATTATCGTCTTCATTTGAATCATTATCAGCCTTTCTTTTACCTTTAAACGAATGAACATTATTAGTGAAATCAAGCCATCTGATAATTATTAATAATTAATAAATAATTACCAGACAATTCCATGTTATTTTCCTGATAATAATAAAATGGGTCTAAATAAAATTAATTAAATATTAAAAAAAAAATTTTATTAAAAAGGTAATTTATATAAATTATGCGATAAAATTAATTACCAGTTTCTAATTTAATGGATTTAGTACTTCTTGAACTTCTTAAAGACATCGCGGATTGAATCATTCCACTTAAAGGTCTACTCTTATAAACGGCACCTGAATTATTTATTGTTACAGGTCCTATATCCGGTGATTTTATAATTTTGGTTTTCTTACCCCATTCTTCACAAGAAGTCATTTTTTTAATTTTATCATATAACTCCATAGCTAATGGTCTTTTCTCTGGATCAAAATGCCAACATTCTTTCATTAATTCAATATAACCTTCAGGTGCATTTGTAACAATTGGTGGACGTAAACCATCACAAATTTTAATAATAAGATCCGTATTATGATTTTGATCCCAAAAAGGTCTTCTACCAGTCATTAACTCCCACATAATCATTCCGAAACTATATATATCTGAAGCTTTAGTATATTTTTGTCTAAGAAATATCTCCGGTGCCATGTAAGGAATAATTCCATAATTTTCATTATCATCCGCAGATTCAGTTGATGATTTATTTATACCCAGATCTCCTATTATTACATCATATTTGCTATTATTATGATAATAATCAGTAAGATATACGTTAGGATTATTTTTAGAATTAAAAAAGATATTTCCACTATGTAAATCCCTGTGAACAATATTTACACCATGTATATGTTTGAGTCCAGTTATAATCTTACTTAAGTTTTCCAATTTTTCCTGCCAACAAATATTATAAAAATAATTAGAAACATAATGTTTCAAATCACCAAAATCATAATATGGCATGATTATCATAATATCCTGAGAAATAGGATCTTGAGTAATTCCGAAATATTCACTAATGTGACTTTTATTATTATTAAGCAACTTGTTTAAAATTTCTAATATGTTGATAGTATTTTCTTTACATTCTGCTGAAGTAAAATCATAAAATACTTTGAGCTAAGTAAGTTAAAGGAAATGTTTATTAGTATTATTATAAGATGTTTATTAACCAATTATAAACTAGAATATATTAATAATTACATATACCTCGTTCAAATTCTTGGATGTAATATTTTTAGAATCATTAAGTTTTTTGAGGACAACTATATAATTATGATGACGAACAATTTTGGTATTTTCCCGGAAATTCAAATTAAAAATTGGACCATCAATCCAAGTAGCTTTATAAATTTTACTAAATCCCCCTTCGGCAATAAATTCAACATTTTTGAATTGATCATAAGGAACAAACTCTAATATCATTGAATTTTTATTAGTTTGCTTATAATTGATACTTTTATATGGAGAACCAAACTCTGCATGTGAACAATAATCAATTTGTGTATATCTAATGAAGTCATCAATAATTTTGTTCCCGCTTTTCTTAAACTTGCATACCTCTTGTATTGTGTAACAAGTAAAACAAAGCTGAAGATTTTTATATGAAGCCAATCCAATATTACATTCATTACATAACTTTTTTATTTTATTATTAACCGCAGTCTGTGTTGATTGCCTTAAAGGCGTGTTGTTTGATATTAAAATATTGTTATTCATATTTTATTTTCAAAGGTTTCTCTTTCATTTAAGGAATCAAACAAAACCATCTTATATATAATAAAATTGACTTAAAAAAGTTCTATGCATAATTTCTATCTAATTTCTGATTAGAAATTTCTATATGGAAAGATTCTCCGAATGAAGAACTTTGGAGTATTCTAACCGAAATAAATAAACTCCGAGAACTCCATTATTTTATACATGATCATCGGGCCTTCATGACCATTTTTGTAAACATCATTGACGAGAAAAAAAAATATTTTTTATTTTATATTAGAATTACAATAATGTGCAAATAATGATTCATTGTGTTGACAAAAAATAAATTTTTTTTTTTTTAGTCTTTTAAGTGAATATAAAACGAAAGAATTAGGCATTCTCTTTGCTGCGGAATTACGTTTGGCAGAAGAATTTATGTTAGAATTTTTTAATGTTATTTGTTATCGGAAACAATAATTTTTTTTTAAAAACAAAAAGAAAAAAAAATTAAATTAAATAAGCTATTTGTGTCAACAAATTTATAAAGCCTGCGTTTGCGTAGAAGCGTAGAAAAATAAAATCAGAAATTAGTAGTACTGTAGTTTGGAGATATTCAAAGAATTACTCAAATAATGTAAATAGTTCCACACCGATAGTTTTGAGACTACACATAAAAATTCTATAAGAAAGACAGAAAGACTTTCAAAAATAAGAGTAAAAAAGAAAATCATAAATATTAAGACGTTAACTTTCAACCAGTCACGTGATAGAGGGTAACGCGGAAATAACTGTAATTATGATTTATAAATCAAAGGAACAAATTTATATAATTTGACAATTTTTTTGAATTGTCAATCTCATTATTACTGTTCCTTTCAGAAATTTTTAACGCAGAGAGGGAAAAGTGCCAAAAAACATTTAATGTATATATTCATTTTCTTTTGTTCAAAAAATTAACCAAAATAAAAAGAAAGCTTATTAATTTATTTGACTCATATTAAGATTGCAATTTTCAGCGGCGAAATAATTGTATTAATAATATCATTTTGGCGATTTTCTGATTAATAATGAAATTATATTTAAGTGTAGTTTAACAATGACATTTTATAACAAACTAGTTAATATGCTAATAAATAATGAATTTGGCTAGTCAAATTATCGATTATATTACAACATTATTACGTCATTTCGCTCCATATTTTAACTTCAATTAAATTCAAATAAATAAATTGTAAAATTATCTACAAAAGTTCATGCGAGTTTAATATACTGTCATTTAAATTCGGTTAATTACTCAATTCACATATTACTTTGAAACTGTGAAGCATAACAATAAAATTATTTATGTTGTGTTATACAATAATTTTTTTTTTACTTTTTTCCGCAGAATTATTTTAAAAAAAGTAAATTCCTATTTCTGGTTATGATAAGCATTTAATGGTGACATAACCTTGCATTTATTTTTCTTGGCGTGTTGATATACAATACTCACGTGCACTGCGTTTTCTATTTCGGGACTAACCGACTAACGTTAATATTTCGGGATTAAACGGAAATATCGTTCTCTCTCAAGTTGCTGTAATGAAAAACCAAAAAAATTTCTCCCTGATAATCATATAAGTAATGACATAATGATAAAAAAAAAAAGATATTAAAAAAAGGTTTAAAAAGAAATGATTTTTGAAATATGACGTATTTTTTTTTTTCTATGAACCCGAAGATTTTCACCTAATGGCAAAAAAAAGGTATAGGAATTAATTACCGTGGAGTGATAATGTTTGATGACACCATTTTTTTGGATGACAATCCAAAAGTAGATACCTTTTTACTATTAATGATATCCACCTTTATTCGACAATGATATTCATCAAACCACGTGACAATCGTGACATTCAACATTTTCTTTTGAAAGCACAAAATAATTATAAAATATTCCTTTTAGGAATATTCTAAAAGTGGCGTGATTAGCATTACTTAATTTGATTTTATCATACAATGATAAAACAAATTTAACCGAGAGGATGTTTTACGAATGTACTACGAAAAATGTTAATTATAATGAGTTTTGAATGTATAATAACCGGAGTGATTTTCCGTCGCAATTATTCCGGTGTTAAAACATTACATACAAACATAATTCTACTTGTTGTTATAGATTAATTATTATTTAATAATGGCATTGTAATAAATGGAACCATATTTGTGTATATATATGTATATTTGTATGCTTGTATATATATAGTATATATTCATACATATATATATATAAGGAGTAAGGACTGATAGATAGTTGTTTCTACTTTTTATTGGAAAAATCAAAAAACAAAAACATTTTTTCTTTTTCTTTATTTTTTTTTTTAAAAAAAAAAACTTTTTTTCTTTTTTTTTTCATTATTCATTATTCATTATTCATTAAATCAAAAATGGTCACCGATTTTATGATTGATTTTTTTCGTTCGATCACCGATGTAAGTAAAAATTATTTATTTTTACGTACCATGATTATTATTTAATATTTAATATTATTTACTGATAAAAAAAATATTTCTTTCTTTTTTTTAAAAAAAAAAAATTATATTAATTAATTATATTAATTTAGCATTTTAAAAGACAAAATACTTTTATTATGAATCAAGATTACGAATCTGAAGCGAATAAAATTTATGATGGAATGGATTTTGAAGAATTATCACAACTTTATTTAAAAAGTGATAGGATTAAACATAAATTAGGTAACGTATTCGAATTATTATAGTTAGTGCATTTTTTTTTTATTAAAAATTAAAAAATTATGACATTTATGATTAATTTTAAATTTTTTTTAACTTTTATAGAAAAATTGGTTAAGAAAGCCGATCAGCTTATTATCCTCGATGACCATAATGATGATAATGATCATATTGGTCCTCAAATAGGTTTTTATTTAAATTTATTGTGGCGCAACTAAATTTCTTCCCTCAAAAAAAAATAAGCATTAAATTTTTTTAATTTTTTTTCATATTTTATAGAGGTAATAACAAATAAACTTGGTAATATAAAATTTAATGCTGATATTGAAGAAGTAACAACATTGGAAAGACTTGTGGAAATTATGAAAACTTCCGATATTGAGAAGAAACATGTTAAAGCCGTAGGAAGTTTTGAAACGTTCAAGTAAATATCAATTATTATATTATTAATTTTACTATATATCCCAATATTAACCATCATCATCATCATCATCATCATGATTTTTATTAGTCGTATCACTGAAACTGAAGGATTTCTTCTTTATACCAAAAATTATCGTGGAGTGAATAAAACTGATTCAAATTTATTAAAACAAGAATTTAAAAGTAATAATATTTATTATGATGTAAAATGTGGAACTACTCTTAATGAAATTATATCAGAACTAAAAAATGATGATAGGGCTTTATTTAATTTATCCGGTTTTGATGGTCAATCAATCGTCGGTTGTAATGCAACATCTACACATGGTTCTGGTATTACTCTTAAACCTTTAGAATCATTCGTTGTATCTGTTAATCTTGTCGTACCAGGTGGAAAAATTTATAGAATTGAACCAACAGATGGTGTTACAGATCCTAAAATATTTTTACAACAATATCAAGATATTAAATTAATTCAAGATGATAAAACTTTTAACGCAAGTGTAGTAAATTTAGGTGCTTTAGGTGTTGTATATCAAGTAACTATTAGTACTGTTTCAAATTATAAAGTCTTCTCAATGAGAGAAGAATCAACTTGGGAAGCTGTTAAACCAATCCTATCAGTAAAACCTTATGATAATAATGATATTTTAAGATATCGTAATGCTGAAGTATGGCTTAGTCCTTATACATCTTACGCTCTTATTACGAGAAGAAATATCGCCACAAGTGATGATATAGAAAATTATCCTAAATCACATTTGAAACATTGGTTACAAGATATTTTAGATAATTTAATTATTAAAAACCTCGCTAAAAAATTAAACACTGATGGTGGTCACATATTATTCATATTATTAAATTTATTTCCAAAAACAATTCCTTCGTTAGTTGAATTAGCTTTAAAATCTCAATATAATAAAATTCCTGTGGTCGATGATTATGAAGAGATTTATTCGATTGGTTTGATCAGCCATATTAAAGCTATAGATGTTGAATTTGCATTCTCAATGAAAGATGATAATCATATTAAAGCTATTGATGCTTTAAGAGAAACATTACAAGATATAAGAGATAAATTTAATTTTAATATTAATGGACCTATAGTTATAAGATTCTCTGCTGCTTCTTCTCAGTATATGTCTATGGCACATGATACAAATGATGAACCAAGATGTTTCGTCGAGATGCCAATTTTAGTATATGTAAGTACTTCGACGTCGTTTTGCGAATTCACTTCTTGTTTTTCTTAAAACTATATACTAATTTTTTCCCCACATATTACCTAGGATCCAAGAATCTATTATTATGCACATGTTTACAAACCATTATTTGGTATAGCGTTAAAATATAATGCAAGATTTCATTGGGGTCATCATTTAGATTCTGAATTAGATTATACATACCTTCAAAATTCTTTTGATAAAAATGCTATTGATTCATTCATTAATCAAATTAATAAATTTGATCCACAAGGTTTAATGAGTAATGATTTCCTAAAGAAATTTGGTCTTGTTCCTAATACTAGTAGTTGGTTTAGTAAAATATTGTAATAATTAATTTAATTAATTTATAATTTAATTTTTTTTTTTTTTTTAATTTTTTCTTTTTTGTTATTAATTATTATTATTTTAAAAGATTTTTTTAAATAAAATTATTCATTTTTGTAATATTATTGTAATATAATTTAAAAAATTATTATTCGCTTTTTTAATGACGGGATTCACGGGAATTGTTCTATGAGCCAATTAATGGTGGTCATTTGAAACGTGTCTGTAATCGACTAATATAGATAACATAAGGCATTTCGGTTAAAATGTCAATCCGCAAATTCCGAAAATTCCGAATGATCTTCTTAATCGAATAAATGAAAAAATTATATGTTACCAATCAAACGAAATCAAAAAAATAAAAAAAAAAAAAAAACAATTACAAACCTTAATATTATGTGAATAAAATATTCCCAGATAAACATAAATAAAGGTAACGTAGCCCCATATCTACAATAAAAACATTTCCATAATAGTAGATTGTTATTGAACGGAAACCCCTTTTTTTTAAGATTTTTTTAAGATAAGTGGTTATTGTATCACCGATTAACATGTGAATGAAAAGGAATTACAAGTATTCAAAAAGGTTAACAAATTCATGATAATCTTTTTAGAACCCTTGATAAGTTTTTTTTTTTTATTCTTTATATAAAGAGTCAATCTCTCGCTTTTTTTTTCAATAAAAAAAACCCAATAAATGTGATAAAATAACACTGTCCGTAAACTGATCCTCACTTTTTCCTGCATATGATGATATTTTCCATTATTACCAACCTCATTATTATTCATTAATACCGTTACCTTACCTTATGTATACGAAACCCTTTTTACCTCCAAATCCGTACTAAAAATATCATATTGCATTACCTTTAACGAATGTTTGGATTTCGATCAAACGTAAAACGTACACCGTACACCCGTACAAACAGTATGCTAAAATTTCCGACTTCTGGAAGGGGTGTATTTATTAGATAAAAAACCAATATTGGGCAACCGATTCCACTTGATGATTCATAATAACTTTTCGAATCTTATGACTTTACGTCTACGATGAAATCATTCAAATATTAAAATATATATATATATTTTTTTCCCTTTCCCTTCTTCTACATTACCTTTTTCTGTAAATATCTTATAGAGGTTGGGATGCTTCTAGTGATAATTCTTCGAATTAGTTAGGCTATTAGTAGTTAGAAAAAATTAAAGTGTTTAAAGCAGGCTATCGCTTGAATTAATAAGATAGGTCCTATTTTGTTGGTTTCTAGGTTTGACGTAATGATTAATAGGAATAGTTGGGGGTCATCCGTATTCAATTGTCAGAGGTGAAAATCTTGGATTTTTTTTATTGGACTAACTACTTTGGAAGATTTTTTTTATTGGACTAACTACTTTCGGAGGATATTTTTTTTATTGGACTAACTACTTTCGGCGGATATTTTTTATTGGACTAACTACTGCGAAATCATTTGCCAAGGGTGTTTTCATTAATCAAGAACGAAAATTAGGGGATTCGAAGACGATCAGATTAACCGTTGTAGTCTTAACCATAAATTATGCTGACTAGGACGGAGATTCCGTTTTAAAAGGCGGCATTTGCAAATATAACCAAGGTTAATATTCCTACACCAAGATGTGGATAATTAATACGATAACGTAAATGAACTTGGTGACATCAATGAAGACCCCGGGAGGAGTTATCTTTTCTTTTTAACAATCGTAAAGACCATGGAATTTCGGATTAATCGGAGATTATGGTATTTTGATCGCAAGAGCCCGACACTTAGTTAGGTCCAGTGCGTTCTCAATGATCCTTGAAAAACCAAGGGAAAGATTTATTCTCACAACCTGGTCGTACTCATAACCGCAGCAAGTCTCCCAAGGTGAACAGCCTCTAATTGATAGAACAATGTAAGTAAGGGAAGTCGGCAAAATAGATCCGTAACTTTGGGAAAAGGATGGCTCTAAGGATTGGGCCTATTGGGTCTTGGTTAGAAGGTTCGCTGGGATGCGGGAATTCTTTACAACTTACAATGACGATTAATACGTGATGGACTTTTTTTCACGTTAATTATCGCCTTAAGTAGTATTATAAATTAAATAATTTACATTTAATTTCTCCAACCTATGTATAATTTACGATGATTTTTTATTATCGTAATTTTATTACTCTGTTGGGGGGGATGTCTGGTCTAAAATTTTGGATATTAGGTTAAAAAAAAAAAAAAAAAATTGATCTGCAATATATACAAAAAATCTTCTTCAATCGCAAGAAATTAAAATAAATAAATTTGTATATATAAAAAAAATTTTCTTCAATTGCAAGAAATAAAATTTAATAAAAAATAAATAAATTTGTTAATTTTTCTTATATAAAAAAAAAAATTACCACAAAAACTACTTTCAGAAATCTTTTCTTAATAGTATAAAGTTAATATTTACGATCAAATATATAAATGATTGATGAATTTATATAACTAATCTAGTCATATTTCCAGCCACCATTAAAATAGCCTTTTCTTTAAGTATTTTTATGATCTAAAAATATTTAAAAAAGAGAAAAAATATTTTTTTAAAACTTACATTTATAATAATATATTATATATGTTACATATAAACCATATAATATTAACTTTTCTTGAGATTAAAGTAAACTTACTTTTTGGTTTTATAATAATTTTTTAATATAGAAATAGGAGTTTCAGTAATGGTTACTTAGGACAAACTAGAAAATTGGCAAACTTTTTGAAAAAATTGGCAGTTTTCTTTAAAACTACATACGGACGTAAAAATGACTTGATAAAATAAATAAATTGGAGTTTACACAAAAAAATATAAAAATGGTTTGGTACATATTGCTTTTTTTTTTTTTTATCGAATTTGACGTTATTTTTCAAGTTTTAAAATAAAATTTTAAAGAAATGTAACGAATTCGATAATAATTTTATTTTACAATAGCGCGTTAAATTGGGGATTTTTTTTTAATCTATAATCTATCATACAAAATATAACCGAATAAGTTAAAATTGATATTCGCATTTCGGGTAGCACCTATCGATGAAATCTCATGAAAAAAGTTACTTTTGACGAAACCATATAACTCATAAAGATGATCTGTATAACGATTGTACGAAATTTTCTAATATTTATTATAAATCCAATTTAAGTAATTATTTCTTAAAGTGGTTAATTTTTTTTTTGTTGTAAAAATATACGATAATATATTTAACAATATATTTAATATGATAGTATATTTAATATACATGGAATAACCGACAATTACTGTATGGTAACCGTACAGTAATTACAGTATGTAATGGTTCGTCCTATGGTCAATCCCTTTGATATTATTATAAGATTATATATTAAATTAATTTTTATAAATCAGATCGAAAAAAAAATATAAATTAAAAATTTTTTAATAGACGATAATATTACTGTATATTATTTATTTTGGATAATAATTTTTATATGTTGCTTATATTAAATAATTTAATTTTCGTAAAGTTTAGTTAATGAATAACATTATTGGATATATCATAGTCATATTTTTTTTAATTTATCTTTTGATAACGTCCTGAACTTCAGATGATGATTTTAACGTTCGTATATAATATTTATTATGATTGTGAACGTAAATTTTAACGAACAAATTATTTTTTAAAGATATTTTTATTACTGTATATATAAAATTATTAATTACATGTTACATGTTTAAATTTCTAAAATCGACTAATTAACGAAATATTGTCTAGAGTTATCTTTGCTTCTTCATATCCATTATTTAAAGCCATTTCATACCATTTAGATGCATCTTTAATATTTCCTTCTGTTCCTATTCCATATTGATAAAGATAACCTAAACTATATTGACCTATGGCATTTCCTTGATTTGCTGATATTGAATAACATTCAAATGCTTTCCTTTCATTTTTATCTGTTCCTATACCCTTCAAATATAAATATCCTAACCAATTTTGTGCTGATTCATTCCCATTTTCAACTGATTCTAAAAACAATTTAAATGCAAGTTTCTCATTTTTCTCTATTCCTATGCCGTAATAAAAACAAGTTGCTAAATTACTTTTTGCTTCTGCATTTTCATTTTCGGATGATTCTAAATACCATTCCAATGCTTTAATTTCGTCTTTATCTGTTCCTGAGCCATTCTGATAACAAATTGCTAAATCATTTTGCGCTCGTGCATCCCCATTTTCAGCTGCCTTCAAATACCATTCAAATGCTTTCTTTTCATCTTTTTCTATTCCGGAGCCATTCTTATAACAAATTGCTAAATCATATTGTGCTTGTGTATATCCACTTTCAGCAGCTTTCAAATGCCATGCTAATGCTTGCTTTGCATCTTTATCTATTCCTATCCCGTTCTGATAACAAATTGCTAAATCATTTTGTGCTCGTGCATTTCCACTTTTAGCTGCTTTTAAATACAACTCAAAGGCTTGCTTTTTATCTTTATCTGTTCCTATCCCATTCAAATAACAATACGCCAAATAATCTTGTGCCAATTCGTTTCCATTTTTAGCTGATTTTGAATACCATTCAAACGTTTTCTTTTCATCTTTATCTGTTCCTATACCATAATGATAATGATTTCCTAAATTTCTTTGTGCTTGCGCATTTCCATATTCGGCTGATTTTGAATACCACTCGAATGCTTTACTTACGTCTTTGTCTGTTCCTATGCCATTCTGATAACAAATTGCTAAATCATTTTGCGCTCGTGCATCCCCATTTTCAGCTGCCTTCAGATACCATTCAAATGCTTGCTTTTCATCTTTTTCTGTTCCTAATCCATTCTTATAACAAATTGCTAAATCATATTGTGCTTGTGTGTATCCACTTTGGGCAGCTTTCAAATACCATGTAAATGCTTGCTTTTCATCTTTATCTGTTCCTATACCATACTGATAACAATTTCCTAAATTATTTTGTGCTTGTGTATTTCCATTTTCTGCCGATTTTAAGTAATCTTCAAACGTATTGTTTACTTGTTTAATAATGTCATTCTTGTTATTATCAGAATTTTTATTAATTTTAAATGTTAGATTTTTTGTAATAACAATTTCCTTAACGTTATTAATGAATTTTTTCTTATTTAAAATGATATCTTTATAATAAAAAAATGATAATAAATATTTTCCAATAATAATATTAATATTTCTTAATTCATTTTCATCATCTTTAATTAAATTTTTTTGATCAAAATTAATATCGTTATGATAATTTATCAAATGTTCTTTCTCATCACCAATATTATCAATATTATCAATATTATTATTATTATTATTATTATTATTATTAATGGTTAAATTATAAAATTTTAATGCAATATTATTATTCTTATAACAACTTATACCATGTTGATAAAAAAATCCTATAATACTTGTGAACCAAATAAGATATTTTTTATGATTTTTCATTAATTCAAGAAATTTTTTTGAATTTTTTTCATCATGATTTTTTATTATATTATTTAACCATTTTATTAAATTTTCTTCAAATTTATTTATATCATCATCTTTTATATATTGAATGATTTTATTATAAAATTCTTTTAAAACATTCTTTAAGAATATTTCATCATTTTCATTGATTTTGATATTTATATTATTAATATTAATAATAGATTTATTATTATTATTATTTGTTGTTATATCGATATTGAATAAATTTGATAACATTTTTTTATTTTTTTTTTTTATAAATAAAAGAGAATTTTTTTTTTTTTTTTGAAGAAAAAAAAGAAAAGAATACTTGTAAAGAAGAATGGTTCATTTATACAAAAAAAAAAAATACATGGAAGTAAACCAAGAAATTTTTCTCGTCAAAATTAAAAATAATATTTTACTATGCCTAGAAAGTACGAAAGTGATTGAATTAATAAACTTGAAACTATAAACAGTAATTTTATTGATTATGAAAGAGCCAAGATAAAAAGAAACTCGAGGATAAATATCAATGGAAGCCAAGAAACTTTGGCCAAGGAACGTTGGAATTGGCAAAAGCCAAGACATTGTACTGTATTGTCGATGTGTTTGTGTAACGTCTGAAATTTTTTTGCCGCAGCCATACTAATGATCAGCCGCAGTTACATTTTGTTATTTAGCCCGAAATTAAAAAAATTACAATTTAATTTTGAGATTTTTTTTTTTATGATATAACAAATATAACAAAATCTGAAACGGTTTGTATATTTTCTTTTTACGTTTATAAATATATAAATAAATGAGAATTTACATATTACAGACGATATAGTTTCGCACATTTTATATTAATTCTTGAAACGTGATTTAATGTGTTTATTAAAATGTTAGTGGTGAATTAAAATAAAAAATAAAAAAAAAATAAAATTGTTTCACAGCGTTTAAAATTTATATTAAGATTTGAAAATAACTGCATAGTTTTCTTAACGTTAAATAAATTTAAAAACATAGAATGAAGAAAGAATGAAGTGAATGACAATACCGTACCACTAGTATACATCAAACCCATAAATCTCGCGCGGCGCAACTACATAATAATTATTTTATAGTATAAATAGTTCATTTTTCATATATACACATTCATCAGAGCTCCTTAATAAGTGCCATTCTTGTTAAATTTGTTATAATTAAATTTATACTAAAAGTATATCATGCGAATAATATCACAACAATGATTGTGTCAAATTTTTATCTAGCAAAGCTGATACACCATTATTATGAAATTAAGCATCAATTCCATATAATTTGAAACACTTCACATTCCTCTACATCAAAATCGTCAGTAGTTTCTCTAATAGGTTTCTCATAGGAAACTTTTCTACAAACGTTACCCATAAATCCGGGCCATATACAGAAATCATTTTCACCAAATGTTGGACCACAAAAATAATTATTATATGTAGCATGAATTTCATTCATTACACGGCTTAAAATATAATTTTCAATTCTACCATT